CTAATCCACAAAGTGTTTTTCTGCTTTGTTCCTTGTTCCTGTTCCCAAAGTCCTGCTGGCTGACAGCACTGGGACACGGTGAGGACAGCTGCTGTGCTGCTGCCCCGTACCCACCTGTGGCACCAGCACAGCCTTCAGCTCCCAGGGGAGATCTTGCAAGGGTTTTCTGCCAGTGGGAGGAAAGGGAAAGGATGTGGTTTTGTTCTTGCTACAGCCTGGTAGCCAGAGAGCTGGATATGTGGCTGTGGGATGAACTCTCTTGGCTGAATGGACTCATGCTGGAGCCCAGGTGTGCACCTGGCAGCTCAGACACTGGCCAGGAAGGCAGATTTCCACAGTGCTGAAGATAAGGCTGACCTGAGTGAGATTTATGTGTCTAATCTGTTTAGACGTGGTGCCTCTCATGAGCTGTGCTCCCTGCCTGTGTTTGAAAATGTGACTGGGATTATTTGATTAAAGGATGACGACAAATAACTTGCTATCTTTAGTGCCTCCTGACAAGCTTCATGGCTTTCTCAGCTTCGGGAACTTTGCAAAAAAAGGTAATTTTAAAAATCTGTCTATGTAAGAATTGAAATATTGCTGCTGCTTTGGAGCCTGGCAAGGAAACCCTCACAGTGGGATGGAAAAATATTTCATCCTTGTGTTTTATAGTCTTAAAAATCTCCAGTGTCTTTTCCAGCCACAGTGCGGAGGCTGTGATGTGCAGTCACGATACCCAAATAAAACAGACAGAGCCTTTCTCTTTCTGTGCTCTGATGAGACCCAACCCTTGGGAAAGTATAACCTGTGCCATCCATTTTCTCCTCAAAGCCTGGTTTTAAGCCCAGGTTAAACATTTTCCTAAAGTGAAGGACGATCTTTTGTTTTGCCTGGACTACTGAGCCTGCTGGGAATTACAAAGCAATCCTTAGTCAGCACAGTGGGATTCAAAGTGAAAAATGTACCTCTCTCTGCTCTCCCAGTCCCTCTCCAGCCTGGGAACTGTGGAGAAAGGAAAATGGCTGTTGTGTCCTGGCAAGGCAGGCTGCACTGATTTTGAAGAAGCTGTTATTTATTTGAATTTTGCCAAGGTGCCTCCACTTTCTGAGGTTTTATGGGAAAAACCCACTTTGGCAGTAGTGACCTTTCCATGAGAAAGGAGCTGCCTGTACCAAAAGTCAAGTGAGAGGAAGAGGAGCAGAATTGCAGGGGAAGGGATAGAACAAAAAACACTGGGCTGAATGCTTTTCCCCCTTAGTGCTGTCTGCTCATTCCCTGCTCAGTCCTGACTGCCTCAGCCAGGGCAGTCCCTGGGTTTGCAGGGACCTGCCCCTCCTCGGTGTGAGGGTGGCTGCAAGAGGCCTGGGCAGATCCTCTTTGGGGTCTGGAGTAGCTTTCTTCAATGACAGAAGCAAAGTGTATTTCTAAGGACCCTGCAGGGTTTGCCAGGTGGTTGCAGAAGTTCATTAGCAACTTCACAAGCTGCTGGAGGCGCTGGGCTGGGGAAGCAGTGTCCCACTGCCCAGGATATCCATGCACATGTGCTCCCTTCTCACTTCCCACAGCTTTGTTCCATCATTGCAAACACATACTCGTAAGTGAATTCATCCCTTTCTGTCCTCAAAGCAGAGGTCCCAAAGGGAGCTGCTTGGGTGGTGAGGGAAGTGCTCCAGGGCACTTCTGCCCTCCTCTGCAGCACTGTTGGGAGTGCTGGGGACTGCTGGGGGCTGTCCTGGTGACAGGTCCCTGAGCCATCTTCGGGTTCCTGCTCAGCCACAGGGGACAGTCTTGGGGCAGGGGGTGTGTGCTAAACACTGCCAGTTGTAATCCAAGAGGCTGAGGCAGTTGGGATTACCCAGCCTGGAGAAAAGAAGGCCCCAGGATTTAGAGACCCTTCCAGGGTCTAAAGGAGTTCCAAGAGAGCTGGAGAGAAGCTGTGGCTGCCCCATCCCTGGAAGTGCTCAAGGCCAGGCTGGATGGGGCTTGGAGCCACCTGGGATGGTGGAAGGTGTCCCTGCCATGGCAGGGGGGGGCAATGAGAAGAGCTTCAAGGTTCTTCCCAACCCCAAACCATTCTAGAATTCCATAATATCCCAAACATTGAAAGTGCTGGAAGTGAGACCTTAAATATCCATTTTTGACAGGGTGACAGAATGATGAGATGTGCACTGACCAGACTAGTTTGGGCCTCAGGTGGCTGTTACTCAGATGAGAATGGACATCCTCAGGTGGGGTGGGGGGTTCCCAGGCACCCAGGGCCCTGGGGAGTGGGGAAGAGCTCATCTAGCCCTGGGCTCTGTGGCACCAGTGTCTCTGTGCTCTGGTGGTCCCTCGGGGCTGGGTGCTGGGTGTGGGAGCAGGAGAGGCTGCAGGGCAGGGCTGGCCACTGGGAGCCATTTCTTGTCCCTCCACGGCTGCCTGGGACAAGCTGCTTTTCATTACCCAGCCTGAGGTTCTGGGGACTCGTTTGGGAAGGACTGCAAGCAATGCACAAGGCTGGGAGGACAAAGCTGTCTGGAATTGTTCCCTGTCCCTCTCACAAGCTCTCCCACAGCATCCAAGTGCCTTGACAAGCCTGGCTGGACCTGCTGCAACACAGCCCTGAGGTATTTTCTCTTCAGCAGACCACTTTCCCTCTTGCATGAAAGGAATGTTTGGGAGCTTTTTTACTCTTTAATGAGAAAGTGTTACAAGGTTCATATAACCCAGCTAAATACCAGCAGTGGCCATCAGAAAGGAAGCACAGGGAAAGAAATAAAGCCACGATTAATGAAATAAGACAGCAATATCACCAAACCCCATATCATCAGGCACAGACCCTGTTGCTGGAGGTCTGGAGACTCATCTGCAAAAGCTGTACGTCATAAGGAGTGATGTTCCTGTGCATTTCACATTTGCACCTCTGTGCTTTGAAATTTCAAAACAGATCCAATGTTTTAACATTTGAAAATAGGAACATTTATGAGCTGCAAATAGCCTCATCTGGTCTTAGAATCAGTCAGCATTCCCCTCATGGTACTGGGACTGGCCTGGAGGCCTGGGACCCTTGGCTAGGTTTTGGTCTGCTGACAGGGCCAGGTGAGAGCATCCTTTGGGACATCAAAGACTTTGGTACCAAGCAAAAGCAGGTCTGAGGCCCCTTATCACAAACTAGATCTTCCACAAATGCCATAATTTGCTGGGCAAACTCCACAACTATCTGCACCACGACTGCTACAGTATGGGCTGCATTAATGATGGAAAAAGTGACCCGGCTCAGAATAAAATCCTGCAGCAATGACTGTAACATGACTCCTCTCTACTGTCTGGCAGTGTTACCACCAAGTCTACCATGCTTCCTGCAGCCACATGATGCCAGTAGGAATCACATTTGCTACCCTCTGGCTGGACTCTTCGCATATCTAAAGGTTATTCTTCAGAGGGATCAGTGCAGGAGCAGGAGCAGGATTTGTGGGTCACTTGCTGGCTGTTTCACAAAGTGTCTTGGTCATCCTGCCCATAACACAGTGTCCAGCAGCTCTGGGTCTGAATCTGCCTCCAGATCCAGTCCTGCCTGCTCAGGGAGCACAGCAGGGCCCCTGGCTGGGGCTGGATGCTCAGTGCTGCTGTGACCAGGTGAGTCCAGGGGCACAGCCCTCTCTCCATCTACCATGTGGATTTGCCTACAGGATGTCTCAGGCCTCGGAAGTGCACTGTATTTACACAAATATATAAATAGAAGCAACATCCAGGCTGTGTTCTGAAATGTTGTTTGCAGTCTCTGGCAGTTACAGAGGAAGGAAAGGGGTTCATGTTTTTTTGGTTTTTTTATGTTATTCTGAGATTCCCTTGCAGAGGAATCACACCAGCCTTGTGCTGGAGCTGCTGCTATGCTGTGGGGCTGGGAGTGCAGTGGTGCCTTGCACTCTCTGCTGGCCTCCTGGAACTGGCCTCATGCAGTCTGTGCAGAGCTGCACTTTGGAGCACAGAATAAATTGACCCTTGGACAGAAAGTGCTGCTTGACCATGGAGCTTCTCCTTCCCTGCCATGGCCAGTTCCGGTGCTGTGTTCCCCACACATGTTCTGTTGTCACACCTAACCCTGACCTCTCTGTAACACCCAGGGTGTTCACAAAAGTAACACACAGAGAGCTCTCTCTACCTCCAGTCAGAGGGATATTCCAGGTCTTTGAGTTCATTTTCTTACTCAGATTAATCCCAGGGTCCTTCCTCTAGAGAATATAAGAACAAAGACTGATGTCCTGCCAAAGGCTCCACATTGCCCAGAAATCTAATGACCAAACCCAGGTAGCCTCAGCCCCCTTCCAGTGCCTTGAGCAGTCTCCCTCCATAGCCAGCAAGGCCAAATTGACAATCATGCCCAAGTTGTGCAGGGCTGCCAGGTCCTTTGGTTCCATTGTGAAGGTTTGGATGTGCCAGATCTACTCTTTCTCCCACACAGGGTCACCAAATGAAGCCTGTTCAAAGCAATGGACCACCTGTGTTGAAGAAGGCTCAGCCTGCCCTCCCTGAGGCAGGTGCCACCTCTGACAGTGGCACCACTCCTGCAGATGCAGGATTGCACCCCAGCTCGCAGCCCTGCCCGGGGCCGATCTCCGTGCAGGCTGTTTACTCACAGTGGTTATCAGCGTGACCTGGGAACAATTCCAAGGTCCTCTTGTGGGGATCCTCCTCCTCAGGGGCCATGTCTTCTGCCTCCCACTGGCTGGACACCCTGAAGAAGCTGCTGCAGCTCCCGTAGGCACAGCACTGGTAGGCGTAGGGCACCTCCAGGACTCTGCACAGAGGAAAGCAGAACTTTAAGGTGTGTCCCCTCCATGACTCTCCATTGCTTTGCACTTTTTGCTTAGTTCCTTCAGTTGTTCAAAGATGAAACTCATCTATACAGTCACAAAATATTCTGGGTTGGAAGGGAGCCACAAGGATCATCATGTCCAGCTCTGAAGTGAACGGGCCCTGCAGGGATCACATCCACAATGTTGGTGCTATTGGCACTGTACTCTAACCAGCTGAGTCAAAAAAATATGGAACACTATGAATTTCTGTGCAGGAGCCATGCTGATCTTCTCTGTATCGTTCCAGTTTTGGTACCTGTGCTGCACTCATGACAAAAGCTGCTCTCTGTGGTGATGGTTGCAGTGGAGAGGGACTTTGCTTTGGTGAAGGACTCCATGTAGGACAGGGTGTGGAGCCAGGGCAGCCCATGGTGTCTCTGCATCACTTTTGGTGCTTAAGACACTGCCAGTCAATAGAATGTTGTCAAACACCACGTTTGGAAACTGCTCTGAAGTTCCCAGATAGTTCTGGTTCCAGCCAGAACAGGGTTAATTTTTGCAGTAGGTGTGAGGGAGCATGGCCAGGACCAGAGGTTATTCTGGACCATCTTACTCATTGCTGGGGGCTAGGGCAAAAGGAGAAAATGTGACGGAGGAGCCATCTGGTATTTGTTTGTTTTTGGGGGCTTTCCATGTAAATAACTTTCTTTTCTTATACTTTTTGTTATTAATATTTTTGCTGTTACTGTTTGTATCTTATCTCATTGCTGTTTTCAGTAAATTGTTCTTATCTCAACCCATGATCTTGGCCTTTTGTGCCTCTAGTTGGGGAGGAGCAGTGGTGCATGGTTTTAGCAGGAATAATAAATTGGAGAATACCATTCCTAAACCACCACACTCCTAAAAACCCTTCTGCTGTTCTCCTCAGAATAAACTAGCCCCTCTCTCTAATATGCAATGCACAGTCTTCAGTTTTTACCCCAAGGCCAAGTTTTCCCAGGCAGCCTTTCCTTCTTTCAAAGGCAGAAGTTTCCCTAGAGCAAAGCTCCCCTTGCTTGTGCTTGAAACTCCAGTTCCAGGAGTTCCAGCTCAGGCAGGGAATTCTCAGGTGTCCCAAGTGAAGCAAATTATTTAAATATGTCTGGTTTCTACTTGAAAGTTGAATTGTTAGTTGCTAATTATAGCATGTATTGCAAGGTAAATTCAACAGCAGCTGAGCATCATCTGGATGCAATACCAGGCTGTCTGTCAGCAGCTGCATTTTTGGCTTTGCTGGAAGTCAGGGAGACTGCTGATGAAGGCAAAGGAACCCCAGGTTTTCCAGACAATTAAGAACCTCTGACAAGATCAGTAAATATGGTAAAACTCCATAGTCTAAAAATATGCTTTTGTTTTATGTTCCCAAACATTTCTGGCTGAGCCCCGGGAGGGTCTGGAAACTCTGTATACAAGCTCGTTTCCTGTTATAAGCTCCAAATTAGATCCTATTATTGAAAGGTGGTAGGGAGGTGCAGATCCTCCCAGCAAGGCTAAGAACTGCTCCCAGATGACTCCTCCAGACATATGCCCCAAGGATAAGGCTGCTTAATGGCAGTACCCAAAATTTAGGGAATGTTAATGGATCCATTGCCTGGCATGGTTCACTGGAGCATTGCTGCAGGCTCAGTTTCTCTGGTACAAATGCAAACCAGCCCAAGAGATGCCATTGGAATTGATTTAGAGGAGAATCACCCTGGAAGTGCTGAACTTGACCCACCCTGCACAAGGGACTGCCCTTTGGAGCAGGTCCAGAGGAGACCTCGGAGCTGCTCGGAGGGCTGGAGCCCCTCTGCACTGGAGCCAGAGAGCTGGGGGGGTTCACCTGGAGAAGAGAAGGCTCCAGGGAGACCTCAGAGCCCCTTCCAGTGCCTAAAGGAGCTTGGCACTTGTGAGGGTGCAGCTTGAGTCCTGTGTCTAGTTCTGGACGCCTCACTTCAAGGAAGACATTGTGGGGCTGGAGTCAGTCCAGGAAAGGGAAATGGAGCTGGGGAAGAGTCTGGAGAGTAAATCATATAGAGAGTGGCTGAGGGGGCTCAGCCTGGTGAAAAGGAAGCTCTCCCACATCAGCAGGGACCTTATCACTGCCTACATCTGAGGATTGTAACAAGGAGGGGTTTGGTCTCTTCTCCAGGGCACTAAGCAGCAGGGAGAGAGAAATGGCCTCAAATGAGTCTCCCCTATGCCAAGGGTGACTCATGCTGGAATCAGGAGGAGTTCCTTCAAGGAAGGGCTTGTTAGACATTGGAAGGGGCTGCCCAGGGAGGTGGTGGAGTCCCCATCCCTGGAGGTGTTCAAGGAACAACCGGAGGTGTCACTGAGTGCTCTGGACTGCTGACAAGGTGGGGATTCATCACAGGTTGGACTCAATGATCTCAGAGATCTTTTCCAACATTAATGATTCTCTGATTCCGTGTCTCTGTGAAGAAATCTGGAGAGAAACTTTGGACAAGGATCTGGAGGGACAGGACAAGGAATCCTCATTTCCTACTGGAAAGGGCAGGGTTAGATGGGATACTGGGAAAAAAATTCTTTGCTGTGAGGGTGGGGAGCCCCTGGCACAGGGTGCCCAGAGAAGCTGTGGCTGTCCTATCCCTGGAAGTGCCCAAGGCCAGGCTGGACAGAGCTTGGAGCAACCTGGGATAATAGAAGGTGTCCTTGCTCATGGCATGGGGTGGAATGGGATGGGCTTTAATGTTTCTGTCCAACCCACACCATTCTATTGTTCTATGACCTTGGGTGTAGAAAACCCTTCAAAAGCTTCTGGAATCCCCTGCCATTTGGAAACCTGTCATGCTGGTCCCAGCTATGTGTTAAAAAAAGTCAGAAAGAGAGAGCCCTGCAGGCACCACTGCTGAGGCAGCTGAAGGGAGAGCTCCACACTTGTCCTCAGGCCTGAGCTTTAAGCCCTGTGTTGGTGCAGTGATCTGTACCCCAGCCCTTTGTGTAAACTGGAAAAGCTCCAGCTTTGGGAACCCATCCTGGATGAATGGGAGCATCAGCTCATGCGTTCTTGGCTTGAAGACAACTCCCTGGGACACCCAAGGAAGAGATTACTTCATCTGGGAGGAATTTGTGTTCTCTGGACCATGGGTGTCTAAACCCGAAGGCAGGTGCCACACTGAGACCAAGGAGCCAGGGAGGGTCAGGGAAGTCTGAGCCAGCAGCACAGCACTCTGCTACTCTGCTCTGAGCCTTTTGCAGCCTCTTCCTCATCAGTTTGACTGCTTCAGGCTCCTCATTAATCCATAACAGACAAGACATGGCCACACAAGCACAGTTTATGGAAGAAAACCTGGATGTCATTAGGTAGGACTGCTTCTGGGAATGTTTTCCATTGAGAGGAGCCCTGAGCTGGGCCTGCTCCACGCTTTCCACTTGTGTGTGTGTGTTTGGGGTGGGGGTGGTGGCCTGGGAGCGCATCACTGCTCTCCCATGGAACCTATTAAAGATGAGATGTGTTAGCAGCAGATGAATCTCTCTCAACCCATGGGCCTGGAAGCGTGGAGAAAGCACGAGATGGGCAAGGAGGGCAGGAGGCTGAGTGCTGTAAGCAAATCCAGCCTGTGCTGAATACCAGAAGTGACAGAAGCAACACTCCAAGTACCTCATTTTGGGGAAGCTCTCTTTGGTGAAGGGCTCAGAGAGAGCTGGGTTGCCTTGGAGCTTCAGATGAGTCAGTCCAGCCAAACCATCCAGGGGCAGCGTGACCAGCTGGTTGTCAGTCAAGTCCCTGGTGAGGGGAAAGCAGAGAGGGAGACCATGGTCAGGGCTCTGCTGCCAGTGGTCTCTCAGCCAAGCAGAGGGCACTGCCTCAGTTGCTCCCTTGATGTGATGCTGAAATGGGGCTGGGTGCTGCACTGGGGCCAGGAGCCTCTGGAGATAAACACTGCAGACCCTGGGGAAGTGAGGGGCTGGGGGTAGTGGCCATGCTGAAAGCTCTGGGTGGTATCTCCCTCGCTGTGCATGTAGGTGTCCCACACATCCCTTCCTGCACTGTAGGTCAGGGGTGATGCAGATCCCAGCCCATAAAATACCCAAGAGGCTTGGAGAGGGGGCTGGGAACTGGGAGCCCTCCAGAACCAGCACAGATGGCATGCAGTTACTCTTGCAGAAACAGCCCATCATGCTGATCTTCCTTAAAGGCATCTAAGGTGGCTATGGAAGCATCAGGAAATGGAGGTTTAGTGTTCAGGATGAGAGCATCTTGAAGATGGCCCCTCCTGCACTTCATCATCCCTTTATTAATAGTATTAATAGGAAACCTGGGGATTTGTTGTGTCCACATCAGTGCTGAGACATGCACCTCAGCACATCAATCATCCAACATCTAAATCCCAGGTGTTCCGGTAGCCCAGGAGGTCAGTCTGAGGTCCTCAGATACCTCCTATCCCTCGTCCACTGTGAAAGAAATATCCCTGCAACTTACAGCTTGGTGAGGGAGTGCAGGGTCACAAAGGCTTCTGGATGAATAAACTGGATGCAATTCCAGCTCAGGTCTCTGCAAGGCAAGGACACAGCAGTAAGGAGAGAGCAGAGCAGGGCAGTGAAGCTGCTGACACTGGCCCAGCCAAGGGCCCTGGTGGGAGCACATGTGGGATCTGTAGCCCCTTGGTCAGCAGCAATTTCTGTCCCATTGCAGCTCCCCACAGACAAGTCTGGGTCTGTATATGGGTGGTTTCCAACAGAGGGCACAAGAGTTTGCCTTGCAGAAGCTCCTCTGCTGAGACCCATAGGAAAGGATCAATGAAAAATGTTCTTTTCTGGCTTAATTTCTGTAAATTTGGGAATTTTTTGCCAACATGCCAAATAGGTCATGCCTTAGTGCCAGATCATCCCCAGTGCAGTCACAGTGCTGGGTGCAGCATGGGCAGATAGGGCCAGGGGTCTGGGGAAGGTGATTTTAGAATATCTCCTGCCATGCACAGGTGCTTTGGATTCACTGAGTCCTCTCAATAAACCCTGCCTCCACCCAAGTGAGAGAGCTCCAGTTCCTCTGTAAGCAGTGCAGAGGAAACCAGCAAACTGGGAGACATTTCTTGTCCTAGGGCTGACCACAGGACAGCTTTCATCTCTCCAGCTCTAAGGGCAGATAGCTCCTCAGATGTGGGACACTGAGTGGGATGAATCCTTTCCACAGGGACCAGAACATACCCAAAGCTGCCAGACTTTCTCACCTGTGTGTGTGCCTGGGCTGGGGCAGCATGCTCACGCTTCCCTGGGTGTCTGCAGTGTCACCTGTCACACCCCAGGTGTAACCATGGTGTCTGTGACACTCATGGGATCCCAGG